GGAAAGAAGCTGCTTGCCGTCGTTGCTGGAAAAGCGCCCACATTATCCCTCTTCTGAAGCTAAATACCTCTCTATTAACGAAAAAAATAGTCAGAGTGCAGGCGAGCTGGTGTAAGTTAAACATGATTGTAAACCTGAGACTGCGCAGAAAATAGAACACAACAGAAGGTAGAAAAAGAGGAGGCAACGTCTCAATGACAATTCGATCATCGTCAAACAACACTCTATCCAAACTCTTGAGATATATCCCAGCTAACAACGGAGCGACCGACTAGCCTATGCATACACCTTCTTTCTGGATGTATTTTCGATTATTGTATTCGAGGACTGTTGACTTTAAATAGAGATCCAACACGGCAAGGAAGCTTTCCACTGTTACGCCCGATTCTGATTGAAACTTTACCAGATTCAACTCTAGCACCTCTTTCACGGCGTTCATCAACCTCTTCTTTTCTAGAGAATAACACAAATCTTTTATGTCCATGGAGAATACCGAACTCTTCCTCCCATGGTTGTGTTCCAAGATCTGAAGAAGTTCTTCTGTGTTTCTCAGCGATAAGGATTTGTCCAAACTGACCTGACCTAACCCATGCTGCAGAAACTTAGACACAACTTTTTGCCACGTTCCGTTTTTGTTTACAACCACTCTAAGAGGCATCTCCACTTTATAGTCCTTCAGAAAAAATTTCAAACATAGGTACATTTTGGATTGACTCATTATGCTTTTAACAACTTGCTCTTTATCTTCTTCCTTTAACAATGTGCATATGTCCCTTCTCATCTTTGCCAACTTTCCGTTCCAATCCTTGAACAATACACTCATGGCATTTTCAGCTTTGTTTTGAAATTCTTTCATCGGGAGGACACCGAACCTTCCCGACTTATCTGTTTGGAGTAATATTAACGACCGTGAATCTATCTCATTCTTGACCATATTTACATCCTTGAAATTCCTTTTTTTCTTTCGGGTACATGTCTCCCATGACTTTATCTAATCTCCCCACCGTCTGATCCACAAAAGCCGTCTTTTCATCATGACCTACTAAGCGCGCAACGTTTTGAACAGCGGAAAACACATCGCCTTGCACGCTGTTGTATATTTCTGCATTTTCATCTTGATCTTTTTTGCGTTAAGTTTTGTTTACACTTATTCAATTATGTCGCGATATATGAAATTGCAATGTTCTATCATGTATCTGTTCTTTTTCCTGCTCTTTTGTGTGCACGCTTTCCCCAGTGCATTTTTGTGCGTATTTTAAGATGTAAATAGTACATACGCGAAAATACTGTTTTGAAGTTCTAATTGTATATTATGAATTTCCCCCCTCATGTAATGCGCTCGCAAGTCGAGTGCCTTTGAGGTAATAAAATGAAATGAAATGAAATGAAATGAGTCTGAAAGGCCTCACATTGGAACAAAATTTAGGTCCTTTGAATAGAAAACTTTCCGTTCTTTCTGAAATCGAAATGTTACATGGGTTGACTACATTTAAACGGGATCCCGACACACACTGAGTACTACGCCATACCGATGGCAAACAATTCTCCCTCCTCTTCATTATCTTAGCAGAGTTCAAGACTTGCGTTCTTTTGACATACCAAATCCTGTGGAACTGTGCCTTCTTGATGTTGTCCCAGTGCTGGAACTCCTTGCGACGCCTGTAGTCCGTTCCCAAGAGAAGGTCCCAAAGCCTGTTGCACGCCGTGTAGAGTTCTTGTATTGTCCTGGTGCCTCCTTCCTTGTTGATCTTGATAACTTTCTTCTTTGAACTCCAAGATGAACCACTTGTTGATTGATGTCTGAACTGCGCAGTGTTGATGAAGTTTTTCCGTTGAGACGTCGCCTCCTCTTTTTCTACCTACTGTTGCGTTCTCTTTTCTGCCCCAGCCTCATGTTTACAATCATGTTCACCTCTCTATTCCTGCGAATTACCGTCCCATTGCGCTCACTAGTTGTCTTGGGAAGGCCTATGAAAGGGTGATCAACTGGCGTCTGGGGTATTTTTTGGAGGAAGAAGGCATTTTGGACATTAATCAGTATGGGGTTTCGGAAAGACGATCAGCTACAGACCACTTGGTTTGTTTGGAGGCTTTTAGACTTGAGGCGTTTGTGCACCGGCAGCACTGTGTCTTGGTATTCTTTGATCTGCAAAAGCCCTATGATACCACATGGAGGTATGGAAGTTTTCGGGATCTGCACAACTATGGGGTACGAGGCCGCATACTCCAGTGTATATAGAATTTTATAAACGACCGAACTTTTGAGGTCCGTTTGGGCTCTACACTCTCCGATGTGTTTCTTCGGGAAAATGGAGTACCTCAGGGAGGATGTTTAAGAGTTACTATTCATTGCTATAACATTTAACGGTCTTGTGAGTGTGATACCACTGTCTGTGTTTTAGTTATTGTGTGTGTATAATGTGCAGATCTCTTTTCTTTCTTGCAACCTCTTCAGCTGTGAACGGCAACTTACAGTCAATAAGATGAGCAAGTGGGCGGATAAAAACGGTTTCACTTTTTCTACTGAAGAAAATGTCCGCGTTCACTTTCTTTCAGCCAGGAATCGTCCCTGGATCCTTCCTTGCGTTTAAATGGCATTGGCATACCCTTTCAATAGGAACACAAATTTCTGGGGGTAATTCTCGACAGGAAACTCACTTTTTTTTACCTCATTTGAAGTAATTGTAGCGGAAATACTAAAAGTCATCAAGCATTTTTAAGGTGTTGTCCCACAACTCGTGGGGGTCTGACAGCTGATGCCTCCCGCGACTCTACAATTCCTTAGTCCAGTCTCGCCTCGACAATGGCGCAACTGTGTATGGATCTCCACGTTCATTTTCACTGAAGATACTGGGTGCAGTATACACAACCCGGAGCTCCGACTGATTACAGGTGCTTTTCGCACATCAGCCGTGTTGAGTTTGTATGCAGACACCTTTCAGAAGTCTCTTGAGAAGTGTAGACAGTACTTCAGTCTCTCTTATGCTTGCAGGGTCCACTTTCACCCTCAACACCAATCCTACTGTACCATCCATACCTGTCGATTCTCTCAAATTGTTTAAAACAAGCCAGGTATTGTGCGTCTTTTTAACTTTCGTATTGAAAGTCTTTCTGCCTTTTTATAGTTTCCGCTCAATGATGCTGTCATACTAAAGCACAAAGAAAACGTTGCTCCGTGGGACGAAGTGCCGTTCTTCTGCGACTGGTCGCTCACAAAGTATAACAAACGGGCTATATCTCGTCAAACGCTAGAGCAGGAGTTACAATAAATGAAGGAGACATATAGAGATTATACTGAATTTTATACGGATGGGTCGAAATCTTCATCTTCTGTAGGTGGTGATGTATATTCGGTTCCTTCGCGAAAGTCTTGCGAATGGAAGGTGTGGCAATCATATTCTCTGCAGAGCTTTATGGTGCCTCTATAGCCGTTGAACATATCATGGGCAATTACATATTCAAGGCTATCCTCTTTGTTGATTAACAGAGCGTGAGGCACTCTTTCTTCTAGCCTTCCCAGAAAGAAACCTCTTGTACTATATGTACTTTAAAAAAAAAAAAAACAAGCTCTCCAACTCGGACACACCATAAAATTCTGCTGGGTACCCAGTCATGTCAGAATTTCAGGAAATGAGAAAGCAGATAAACTACCGCATCTGCGAAGGACTCAGCAGCATCGCTTGGCTTACCCTATCAGGACCTCAGGCCACGTTTGAAGAAATTACTTTTGAAGTCGTGGCAGTCGGAGTAGGACGCGGAGTGCAACAATAAACTTCATGTCATTAAACCCATCTTGGCTCCGTGGGAGAACTCGTTCCACAAGGAACGTTGGCTTCAGGTTTTAATTTTCCGCCTGGGGATTGGCCATTCACGTCTGACACATCTACGTGTTCTTTGTGTGCGAGGATATAAATCTCTGTGCCCAATGTGGGGAGGTACTGACAGTTTTGCACATTTTATGGCATCACCAACTTCACCGACAAAGTTTTTATGAACTTCTTAGAGGTCATCTTCCATTCCATCCTATATTTCTGCTTGGCGATCATCCTTTAGTGTCGGTTGACCGTGCTTTTGACTTTCTTAGAAACACCGGATATATATATCAGCTATACATTTAACAATGAAAACTATTTAATATACTTGTCTTTGTTTGGCGCAATATGGCCTAAGTTGCTCGCGCGCCATAAAACCACAATCATCATCAGCCAATCAGACTTTGACGTCGGTCTGACGTCACCGCAACGCCTGCGCAAGAAGCAGACAACTTGCACTCCGCGTTGCTTTTACCTCAGTTGCTTGGTCATCACATATAATGTGAAACGTATTTTGTAAACTAGCTTTCAGCATATATAATGTGAGGACGTGCCCATTTTATGATTTTATGCACTGTGATTATTTTTAAGTTCAAGAGCACAACAAGATTCGACTTCTAATACTGCGACGCGAAGTTGTACCAATCACGTGTAGTTCAGTCGACCTCCCTGACTGATAACCTTTCGATTTAAGTAAAATATACGCGACTAAGGTAAAAAAAAAAAAAAACATGTTGAGTAGTATATATTAATCTAGCTTTTCTGTTACTGTGTCATCGAAAATAAATATCACAATTTATTTCGGTTCCTAAGAATAAAAGTTGATTCCACAAATGATAAAAAGCTATATAGTTACTCTTGTCACTGATAATATGGTACCTATTGCCAAAAAAAACACGGAAAATATATTCTTAATTTAGCGATTCAAACAAGTCCGAGCTGTTATTCTTGCTCCCCGGAACTGAACCAAAATCCGTGAACCCGAACAAAACCGATAACAATGTAGGTTAGACATTTTGAAAACGACACTTCGGGTCGGGATAATTCGGGGGCGTTAGAAAAATTCGAGTTGCAGGACAACTCAATCTTTGACGTCACAGCACTGGCAGGATCACGCAAGAACTTCAAATTCGGCTTCGAATAATTTTTTTTACTTCACAAATACTGAGGTTCCACGTTACGAATTCTGAGTGTAATGTCCAGGCATCGTTCTCAGTCGTTTCGGATAATAATAAAAACATGGAATTTTGACTTGTCAGTACGTAAGTCCTTTTTTACGAAGAAAGTGGCAGGCGTCGCTTGTGGGGCATTCACTTAGGCCGGCTTCATATTGCATGGAGCGAGAAAGTAAATTGACCGTTCTTCTGTTGTCTCTAAGGAGGTGGCTCTGGCCAAGGTATGCATAGCACAACCGCATAAAAACCACACGTACTGGGTCTTTCATATTGTAGGAGTATGTATGTGGGTCTGTAGAGATAAGTTTGCCTTAATCACCGATGCTGCAGGCCATAACAGCCACTATAAGACACTGAGATTCCACCATATTCGTATATTTCAACCTGAGGGGATCATAGATAGGATTAGAACGTATAAAGAGTATGCCGCTGCCAGGCTAGGTGTTGGTGGTGGTCATAGGACTGACAATGACGGTTCGCACTGGGTATGCGGCGCTTGGTCCTCGACGGCAGGGATGACGTGGTCAAAAGTGGGGTCGGAAGAGGGACACTGCTCAGAGCCCTGTGTTCGGGATCCAGAGCAGTGGTCTGCGAGAATGGAGGGGCGGGGTTTTCCTTTCGTGTGAGAGGGGTCGCGAAAGGAAGTGGACGACGCATGCTCCGTGCGGTGGGGCGCGCGATCAGATCTTATTTGGAGGAGGTCGGGGATCACCAGACAGTGCACTTGTTGACTGGGTTCATGGGAGATCCGACCGGGCAGTTGAACTCGGCGGCAAACTCGGGCGTGTTGGACGTGGGACCGATGACCCTACGCAACACATTGAACATCTGGTTGTAGCAATTCGTGAGTTAATTGTATATATAGACCAACTCATTGTTGATAAACAAGCATGTGGTCACGCGAAAACTGTGGATACTGCTAACAACACCTAGAAGAATCGAGGCCTGCAAACAACCTCCTCTTCCTCTATGGAACGTCATCACAGTTTGATGGCGCTAACTCGGACATTCCACACAAGCCCGATGCCGAGCGCCTTTCGACGAGTGAATGGGCACGAGGTCCTGCCGAATGCTGACGCAGCACTCGTGTCCAACCTGTGGTTTTGCTTAATCTCTGTTATGATGTCAAACTTCAAAAATCATTGGCGACGGGATGTTTTCGTTCTTTCCTTTTATGGTTCATATTTGGGACGTGACAACCAGGAATTTCGATGGCTAGTGACAATCTTATTTGTGGCTGTCAAACCACGGTGCAAACTTGCACTTATCGCGTCCTTAAACCAACACTTTCAAAGTGACAGTTTAATGTCCCCCCTTATTTTTATTTCTGAAAGTGGAATTCATACTCGAGACGTTACAAAAATAAATGTTAAACGTACAAATGGCGCTGCCGGCGCAAAATGCGCAGTGACAGTAATCACTAGATGTTACAGGAGGCGACTCCTCACTTCCTATGTGGGCTACTTATTTTACCCAAGGTTGACTCATAAGGGAAACCTACTTTTGGGACGAGAAAGACGTCCGTCACTCAGTCGACATTCAGGCTGGCTCTTGGGAGAAATATCGAGGCACGATTCACCAGAAGATTCTACCGAAAGCAGGCGTAGCTATATGAAAGCCCTCCTTAGGAAGTAGCTGCCACCACCGCAACTGGACATCTGTATAGTATGGTACCCCGAGCCGCTGTCTATCTTAATCAGGCTTGTTCGCTGATCGGGCCACCTTCTTATGACAAGTTGCGGTCGTAACAACGTCATGCAGAGCGTTTGTCCAATCGTGAAGGGCTGACCACAGCGACGCTTGTAACCGCGCGCGTCGCCAATGGGTGGTGTTGGCAGACTTGTACGTAATCCGTTACAAGTAACGAAATTACTTGTAATCCCTTACATTTATCAGTAATTTTGTAACGGAATAATTACATATTTTCTAGAGTAATTTTAAAGTAATTCCCTTACATTTCTGACGTAACGGATTCCTTGTAATCCGTTACATTTTTTGTCAGAACCAACCCCCCCCCCCCCCCCCGCCCCCATTCTAAATAAAGGTTTTTTTTTTTTTTTTTCATTTTTGTAAAGTCGAGCGCAGTGACACTGTCATGCGAATCTGCCAGCGCAAAGGCAGGCTTGGCACTCTTCAGTTCCACAAGGCCTTTTTTTGCAACACCAAGCCCCTGAATCTACAAATTTTCTAGACCCTAACATGTCAATGTAAGGGTCAATGTCAAAAAACCCAAATGAACAATTCACGAAAAAAAAAGGGGGGGGGGCAAGTTATATCCGCTTTTTTTGCTCCCTTTGTTTTTTCTTTGCGATCGAAGATGGGGAGAGGAGGACACCAAGTGATTGTGCGCCTCTTCGAGAAGCTCGAGGCGGTAAGTGCACTGAAAAGAATTAACAATGTCCTTCTCGGATATAGTGACTACGACCATTTTCATAATGTCACAACGGGAGACAACGTTCCGTCTACCCAGAGGCTCTGCGTCTGCCCTACCCTTTTTGTGAGTCAGCTTTTTGCGAGAATTCAGAAAATGGTAATATTCTTTCTTTCTTCCTCCTGTTTTGCCCCAGCAGGACGCAGCTTATCTCAAGCAGATATTTTTACAAATAAAACATAATGGTGGCTGACGTAGACTTGCTATTCTGGGCTTGAGGAGAGAGTGACACTCTTGAGTAGGGTCATAGGGCGGCTTACTTAGTACTCTACACTTTGCTGCCCGTGGCATCAGCGGACGTCTATCTGGAGAACACCGGAGTAAACTGCAGTCGGTTCGTGCTCCGTGCGTTTTTGAACAGCACGAAGAAAGGTACACACGGCAAACGTGCGTTTACATTTCCCTGTTTTAACCGACGTTCTAATTAATTATTGTTATGAGTGTCCTTCTTTTTCTTTTATTACTTATATTTATAAACTGGAAACGTTTTTTTTTATTTTTTTTTTTTTATTCACCAATGTCTCAAGTGAGGCTCGAACTGTTCAGAACCAATGGAAGAATAATATCGAGCCAAACCTTATTTATTATTTAATTATCACCTTACTGTTACAACTATGTTTTGCTATTGATGACTTCTAGAGCTTTGCGATTTAGATAATAGAAAATTTTAGTAGATCGGTCCGATGACTCCGATAACGATATCCGATACTTCGCCGCCGTCTTTGCGTATGCATCATATCGTTATCGGGTACCGTTATCGCGGGTACGGAGGTATCGGAAGGATCAACTAACTCTTTCGAATAGCAGGCAACGGCTGCAACGACGAAGCTTTGCTCTACATTCGAGGTAAATAGTGCTTCTATTGCTTCGCTGAAAAAACTCAATGCAGAGCATGAAGCATTCGTGAGGAACAATATGGCACTCCCATCCAGTGCCTCAGCTAAAATGATGTTCAGCGTAGCAGTCGACATATTGAGTAAGAAATAATGCAAAATGTCTGACGAGACATTCGAGAGCCAGCTGTTGTTCAAAATACTCAAGGTCATTAAATGGAACAGGTGGCAACAATAAGAACTTGAATAGGCCCCTTCTCTTTGTTTCTTACTTGAGGACAATAATGTTAAAAGTAACGCCAGGAAAGTAACGGATTACTTTTTGGGGTAACGGCCAGTTACTTTCATGGGAGGGTAATTGTAATAGTAATAAATTACAATTGAGCCTTGAGTAATTGTAAATGTAATTCCTTACTATTTTTCAGTAACGTGTACAAGTCTGGGTGTTGGCACTGCAGGTATGCAGAGGGGTCGCTCTGTTTCACAGTTGGAGCACCCTGAACTACTTTTGCACGAGCGCGCGTGCTCAGCAGGCTCCAGGCTCGAGTGTAAACCAGTGTCGCCACATCCTGGCAGACCGACCTTACGCTGTATGAACACTAAACGTCCAATTTGGCTTTTTTGTTTGAAACACTTTATGCGGGCAAGACACATCGAGAATACCATACACGTGACCAGGCTGTTGACATGCTTGCTGGCACTTGAGCACCACGGCCGTGGCATTTATAATTATAGAACTATAAGAGCGCCACACAAAGCTTCAGCGGTTCTTCACGCAGTCGTTGAGGCGTTGTTGTTTGTCAGCCCGAAGTCTCTTGACACTGGCCATTCTTTCCAACTAGCGAGCGCTCACAGGCAAGCAGAATGCGTGACAAAGCACAGTTCACGCGAGCATGGCGCATGACGTCTCACAGTGCAGTCTGCTGCTATACGCCGCTGGTGGCCACCGCACATAATCGTGAGTTTTAATATTGCGTGTACGAGCGAACGCAAGCCCTGTGCGTTTGCGTTAGCGTTGCGTGTTCCACAATGCCCGTGCGCGGAGCCCGAACCGCGGGCTTGGATTAGCGCATGGCAACTTCGCGCATGCGCAGCGTCGAACACGCAACGCTTACGCAAATGCATAGCGCTTTCGTTTGCTCGTATACGCAATACTAAAGCTCATTAATGTACCCCCTTTTACGGAACACGGAGTGTGCTTTTTATTCGGGAACATTAATTCTCAACTCATCCGGGGAGCCTTTATTCCATCGCGACACGAATCGCCCAGCCGTCTGCCCAAGCGTACTGGTATGCAAATGGAGGGTGAAGCATGCCCGGTGTGGTCTTTTTTCACTCCTCTAGGTCTGCAAGGAAGTGAAAGATAAGCGTGTGTGTGTTCGCCTAATGTTGCGGGAAATACGCGCACATGCGCATGGCTCTTCTCGTGAAGGTCCAGTGCAATCAAACATGAAAGCAAAGGCCGGGGAACCTAAAGCCAGGATGTCCCTCTGCCAGAACTGTTGCCCTTCTTTACAACGCCCGCAACCGGTTAAGTTGTCATTTATTACTCTATAACCAGACGTTTCAAACAATAACCGTCCTGCGACGTACCTGAATCGACCCGGGCTGTGTGAACCTGCCAGGATGCTCAGCTTTAATGTCTCGGGACGGGACTTGCCGCACCATACCTGCGTCATGTGGACGGCCGTCCAGAACAAGAGAAAAGCGCTGGTGTGCAAGTGCGAGTGCAGAAAAAGCATTTTGAGCACGCCGAGTACTCACGTTGGCGGCGCTGATCCAGAAGAGCTGCTGCGGGGTGTATTTGAGGCCCGGCAGCCCGGCCTCCGGACCGTTCTCCTTCACCCACTTCTTGTAAGCCTGTACCAGAAGACGAGCAGTCTGACGCTGCACTTGAACGTCGTCAGGTATAAAGGCCCGCTCACACAGTATCATTTGCTTAGGTTGCGTTACGAGAACCTACGTCTGCGTACGCTGTGAGTCTCCAAGACATCCGTGCTAGATTATAAAGCGAAGCAACTATTTCAAGGAGTAACTGCATGCAGAATACGAAGTACAAAGCCTTTTATTTGGGGCTCTGGCGGAGCACGAAATACCCAGAATTCAAGCTGTCTTTCACAAAGAAATACTTAAGCTTGTGTTTACTTATTGCGAATGGCCGTTTTCCAGCGCGCCGGGATCAGTCGACCAGATCCGAGAGGGAGCACGGAAACCGAACGAAGCCGCTCCGCCTACGGATCTCCAGTGGAACTAACCTTAGGTTAGTTCCACTGGGGATCCGATGGAACTAACGAGAATGGAAGTCATGTGTGCTCGTCGAGGACTGGCCAGGCTGGATTTGGGTAGAATCCGCCGCAATCGGCAGACGGACTTTTCCCTGATCCGGATAGAGATCTGTAGTGGGAGCTGACCCAAATCGACGAGTGAAACACTTCCATCTCGATCCCGATCACCTAGTGAATTAGGCGCGCTCCAGAAAAGTTGATCCCGACGCTTTCCAAAGCGACTAGTGGAATTAGCCATTAGAATACAATTCTCATCGAGCTGTCCATGAGGCTGCTATAGACCGACACGCGGACTTGATGTCACGGAGCTGCGAAGGCTCAGCGATCGCGCCGGAGCCGGGTGTGGGCAGGAGGGCGCACGTTTTGCGTAAGCGTCATGGCATTTCAACATGCCGCAAGGCTGTGTAGCCGTCAGTTACACCGGACGGTACAGCAAAGGTAGCGGACTGAGTTCCTACAAGTTTCCGGCGGACTCTGAAAGGCACAGAAGTTATATAATATCCGTGTATTGAAAAGAATGGTCGCCTCGCGAGGACGACCGTTTGTGCGGCAAGCACTTTCTTGAAGGCTTCCATTTCAATCTCCGTCCCGAGGCTTTCATATGTGAAGGGAAGCCGTCGTCTGATCGAGACCACCCAGATTTTGTCCCCACTGTGTTGCCGCACATAGTACTGGCCAGGCGCTCGTCGGTGGCTCGTTATTCCCGTACTACCATGCGGAAGGAGATCGGCGGCAGAACGGACAAAGCGTTACCTTTTGTCGTATCTTCTGGTCATGAGGGTAAAAAAAATGAAAAACGTTTACAAATCTCTGTAACGCGAAATTAGAGCGCAGCTCTTGAGGAGGAGGAGGAGAGGGTACGGAAGGGAGGATATGCCCCTCCCCTCCTCCTCCTCTGCCCTACGACTCCCCTGCTTTCTTCCTCACCCTCCTTCTCCTCTCCACCTCCTCCTTCTCCGTACCCACCGCTCCTCCTTCTCCATAGCCTCCCCACCTCCCACAGTTTCCCCACTAAATTTAGCTAGAAAATTGACGCCAAGTCACCTCAGCACAAATTCAGTTTCCCCGCTAAATTTAGCGGTTGCCGCACAACCGGGCATCAGTACTTTGATGGGCTCTGACCAAATGTTGGGCTTTATGACTGGTCAAGTCACTCGGAGTAAGACCTGCAGCACCCTTGTTGCAATAAATACCAAGCTTGGTTGGACTTTCCAAGGACGGACATTATTCGTGAAGTCGCAAGAAACCCACACCAGCTTGGTCGTCTGTGTCCTATAGATCACCGTTACAAAACAAGTTGAAGGCGCTCTCCGATCATTCTGGGGGTTAGGAAGCCTGGGAATCACAGATTCAGGAGACTAGAAGTCCGAAACAAGTCAAGTGATGCGGCAGTTTGAGCAGAACATTCGTCGGTCTGGCACACAGTACGAAGTGGCATCATTGTGGAAGGACAATATAGGTGTCCTTAAGGACGATAAGCAAGTAGCGATGACAAGACTTCGGAAACAAGTAGGTCGACTTTACCGAACTGACTCTCTAATCCTTCATTACGACGAAGCTATGAGAGAGTATCTGATAGCTGGTCACGTTGAAGTGGTACCAAACGAGACAACTGGTGAAGGCAGACTATTTGACATGCCACATCGAGAAGTCATCAAGGAAAATGCACTGACGACACGACTTTGAGTTGTTTTCGATGCATCCTCGCATGCAGCTGGGTGCAAGTCTCTGAACGAATGTTTAGAGAAAGGAGACATCCTCTATCAAGACCTTCTTGGAATTTTTCTGCGATTTCGGGTGGGCCGCTTCGCGATAACCTCAGATATCCAGAAGGCATTTCTTCAAATATCTGTCACAGAAAAGGACAGAGATGCATTGCGTTTTTTCTGGTTTCAAAATCTACCATCCTCGACCTTTAAAGATGAAGAGACACATACGTGGAGGATGACGATGGTTCCTTTTGTTGCAACCTGTAGTCCATTTCTTCTGACGGCTACGAACCTCCAACAGCTGAAAAATCTGCCGACTGAAAAGGAGGAAGTGGCTAACGTACTTCGTAACTTCTTCTACGTGGACGACTTGGTTACTGGCACACCTACCGAGGAGGAAGCCATCAAGTTCTACCATGACGCCAAAACTATTATGCAGAACGCAAGAATGACTCTCCGAAAGTGGACGACGAATTCACAAGCGCTGAGAGATTTGCTACTTCGAGAAGAGGCAAATCCAGAAAACACCACGCCTATCATTGAACAAAGAAAAATGAGGGTTCTGGGAATTGTCTGGGATCCAGAGAAGGATGTCTTGAAGTTTGCGTTGCCAAATTTACAAAACTTCTTAGAGTTGAATAATGGCACTAAACGATTTGTTCTACAAGCAGCATCTAGGATTTTCGATTCCCTGGAAGTCTTGTCGCCCTTCACAATTCGAGTGAAGACACTGTTTCAGAAGCTATGGGCGAGAGGAGTCACTTGGGACAGTGCTCTACCCGAGGATCGGAATAACGAATGTCAAGAATGATGTCCTGACCTTGCAAAGATGGATGCACTAGTCATCCCTAGATTCGTATCCCAAGCAGGACAGGGCAAGGACACCCGGATTCATATTTTCTGCGACGCAAGCCCAACTGCCTATGGAGCTACAGCGTACGTTGCAACGAAGTCATCACCACCTGAACGACCTACATTTTTATTGGCAAAAGCTCGGGTTGTTCCAATCAAGAAGCAGACTCTTCTTCGCCTGGAACTTACGGGAGCCGTTATAGCATCGAGACTGCACAAATATCTTGAGAAGACCATCCCATGCATTCCGTATGACTATACGTTGTGGACGGATTTTCTCATTACACTGGCATGGATCAAGAGCGACCCCGGCAAGTGGAAGACTTTCGTGTCCAACCGAGTTGCAGAGATACTAAGAGACACCGATCCTTCTCATTGGAGGTACTGTCCGGGAAGTGACAATCCAACGGATTTGCTTACCCGTGGCATCGCAGGTCCTCGACTGGTGTCGAGTGTTTTATGGTGGTCAGGACCAAAATGGTTGACTGAACACGAAAATGAATGGCCTGATCAGAGGTCTAGTAACGAAGCGGAGACTGACTTGTCAAAAGAAGAGAGAATGGCAGTCCATGTGATATTGCAAACAACACCACCTGAACCGCTGTTTGATCTGACGAGGTACAGCGAACTTCATCGGGCTTTAAGAGTGACGGCGTGGTGCATTCGATTTCGGAAGAACTGTCAAAATGGCAAACCGTCAAGTGGACCACTGAGTGCCGAGGAACCACTGAGGCCGAACTATACTGGATCAATAACGTTCAGAACAGTATACTTACTCAGGCGAGATAAAATGTATCTTGAAGATAGAAAATGTTCACAAACACTCGTCTCTAGCAGAGATGAGTCCATTTTTGGATGAAGACGATATCATCCGGGTTGGAGGCCGGCTTAAGATGCTGCCAGCATCGGAAAATGTAAAACACCCAATCATATTGTCAAGTGAGCACTACTTCACAACCCTGGCGGTACGGAACGCCCACTGCAAGGTTCTTTGCGGAGGAGCACGAGACACGTTGGCGCAACTCCGAGAACGATTTTAGATTATAGGAGGGAGAAGATTGGCGAAGAAAAACAGTTGGGTTGTGTGTATATTTATACAGCCTAGAACTTGGTCTGCCTCAACGGACGACGAGTCTCCCAGCTGTAGATGAGCAATTTAGCCAGTGCAGTACAACCGCTAGCCAGAGGTCTTTAACGTGCATCACGCAGTAGTGCTATACGACTGCACGCCGGTACGATGCTCATCCAGATCGAAACGGGCAGTTGTGGGGATTGAGCCCGGGATCCTGGGTTCTGCAGCGCGAGCTTTCGCTCCACGTGCTCCGAGCAGATGTGCGCTAGGCCACTCGGCCACCAATCCCCCCATTGGTGAAGAAAGTGATCTTCAGCTGCTGTTTATGCAAGAGGTTCCGCCTCATGGCTGACACAGCCCCAGTGGCTCCACTTCCCCTTGACCGACTGAAGCAAGGCGCGCCCCTTGATGTTGTAGGCGTAGATTTTGCAGGTCCTTTGTACGTCAGGGCAGCAAGCGGCAACGTGAAGTCCTACGTCGCACTTTTCACTTGTGCAGTATCTCGCGCCGTTCATCTTGAACTTGTTTCTGCGATGTCTACAGAAGCCTTTCTAATTGCCTTTCGGCGTTTCACGGCACGGAAAGGATTGCCAACAAAAGTCTATGCTGACAACGCACAAATATTCAAGAAGGCATCAAAGGACCTACATGCGTTGTTTAGAGCGATGCAAGAAGAAGATTTTACGTCTCATCTTGCCAACAACCGAGCAACATGCAAGTTCATTGTTTCCAGTGCCCCATGGTGGGGAGACTGGTGGGAGAGGCTCGTGCGAACGGTAAAGAGCACCCTACGGAAAGTGCTAGGGAGGGCATGTCTAACCTCCGAAGAATTATCTACTGTTATGGCCGAAGTTGAAAGAATAGTCAATTCCCGACCTCTAACCATAGACACCACGGACGCCACGGAGCATAAGCTGATAACCCCAGGATATATCTTGCTTGGGAAAAGATTGACGTGCTTGGCCCGACCCAACAACGAAGACGGAGCACCAATCCAAAAGAACAGACCTACTCAAAAGGATCATGTACCGTCGATGCTTAACGGACAACTTTTGGAAACGCTGGCAGCACGAATACTTGTTGCAGCTTCGATCGGCGCACCATGCGCAACCAGCTTCTGCGTCAATCCTAAGTATAGACAACGTTGTTCTTGTGCATGATAGTAATGCACCGAAACAATTGTGGCAAATGGGAAGGGTGCCGAAGACCCACAGGGCAAGATACGGTAACACACAGTCCTGCCAGGTAAAACTGCAAAATGGACTGATTACCGACCGACCAGTTCAACGCCTTTATCCCCTGGAGGTCAGCACGTGACTCATTTCGCGGTCGGGATAGTGTTAAAAATAGATCAAACTGGTTGAGTACCAGCGAAGAAGAGTTGATCAGCAGAATGTCAGGCCTGTAAACGAGATCGGGGACTGCGCTCGTGGACGGCGAGCGTGGAGCTCGTTGTTCACTTTTTTTCAGTACCGTTTTTTTCTTTTTTTTTTTTTTTAACGTAACGAACGCCCGTCGGGAATGAAAGCTTTTCAGTTTTGTGAAGCTGCCGCTGTTCCCGAGTCTTCATATCAACAGTCCCTTCGGGGGATCAGACGACGTCTTGAGAGAAACGATAAGCGTACGTTGAGTCCTGTCTGTCTATGCTGGAAAAAGCGGTGGAGAAACTGCATCGTGACGTCGCCGGTGGGAGGAGCCTAATCTCCATCGCCAACAAACTACATCGGAAGAGAACTGCACCGTGACGTGTCCGGTGACGTCGCTAAACTGTGGCGATTGAGTTGAAACTCCATCGTTTTTCTTTCTCCCTACAGGGAATTTCGGAGAATCGCCGAGCAGGCTAGCGCACACCAGCTCGGAGCACGTGGAGCGAAAGCTCGCGCTGCAGAACCCCGGGATCGTGGATTCAATCCCCACTCCTGCCCGTTTTGATCTGCTGCATATGCATCGTACCGGCGTGCGGTCGTGTACTGCGTGATGCACGTTAAAGACCCCGGGCTGGCAGTCGTACTGCACTGACTAAATTGCTTATCTCTAGTGGGTAACAATGTCGCCATGTTCAGGCAAACTATAGTCGGTTGCAACTAAGAAAAAACCGGAAATACCTCTCAGAGGAAAATGTAATCCTACGCCGAGAAACGCCAGCCAATCGTTTTCATGACGTCACGATTCCGTAGACCAATCGCGATCCTCTTGAAAAAAAAAAAAAAAAAGCTCAACATGGCTGCTGTTCTTAGCAACGCGACGCTAGTTTCTCGTGACAATTATTCTGCTGTTTTGCACCGTGTTTTACGTGCCCGAGGTTACGCCACGAAATCTTAATGGTATCGGCTTGCGTTTGCAGCAGTTTTTGCGCGACAACGTGAGAATCCAGCGACGCTATCGCCAACGAAAATTTCGAAGCGGGCGCGAGGCTTAGCACTGCTGAGAGGTATGTTAGACGGTATGTTAGACAGTATCCTGGACAGAAAATGAATTGGGAAGACGGTACATTGGACATGACTTTCTTTCTTTACTAAACAGCTATTTCGTTGACAAAAACGTATTCTAACTTATTTAAATGTCCTGAATGAATTAAATAATTATTGTAGTAGTTTAAGACACGTTTCCTGGAGGAAGAAAAAGCAACGTTGCTAGCGAACTACTTTCTCGACGGCGGAGGCACTTCAGATGGGCGCAATGCGCTTGTGGGTGGAGCTAAAAGATTGTTCTTAGGTTGCATCCGACTATAACCTCCTGCTGTATAAACAACTAACAACAAATTTTACTTGTTGACTATGTTTGACTGCGTTAGTGCAACTTCTCTCGTGCTGCACGAGAAAGAAAAAATGTTCCTTCGGAGGTTAAATTTTCGGTGAAGTAGTAAGCAAAAAGGAAGAAAAGAGAATATTTCCCTCAAGTTGGGTTCGTAGAGGAGAGGAGGAAGAAGAAAATCAGTTGTTAGTCCCATGGTGTGTATGGTCTTTTCTTTATGTGTATGTTTATTCTAGTTCAGCTGGCCTGACCTGAAGTAGTTGCTTTAAAATAAAGCATATCTCTCTCTCTATCCACCTTAAGTATGAACGAACTAGCTCAACTTAAGCCTGTTGCCGTTGCTTGCTTGGCATTTCGCTCAGCCAAATCGCTTATATGGGGTGCACTCAACTAAAAGCACAATCGTGTTAAATCGTGTAGGAGTATTTAGAACATTTATCGATGACGCCGCTGAACTTGCATCGCTCGAAGGACTTCCTTTTTGTGAGCGCCTTCTCTGCTTGAGTTTGTTGGAAACACAGCCACTTCGATCCGACGCAATCGATGATAGCGTTGGTGACATCAACAAGTACGCGACTCACAGAGCACTGGAGAACACCAATGTTTTCGTCGCTCCCGACGGTTCCCTGGAAGCCACCAGCGGCGTAAAAGCGTAGAGCTGCGAGGACTTGTTGTTCGACCGTCAGCACACGGGGCCCTTCAAGACAACGCTGGAGCTTTCCGCGAAGCTGGTCACACAGCCAGCGAGTCACCCCTTCGGTCAACCGGTATTCGCCCACAAACCTCACATCGCTCGTCTCGAAAGCATCCCGGTGATCTCTAAAAGCTCGATCCGCTGGCGAACCCAACAGTAGAGATGCATATGTTAGGGTCGCCATTTTTTACGATGCAGATTGATCTTCGGCTTCTCATCGACCACTCAGTTAACTGCATCGTCAAAGTGCATCGTGACGACATTTTGACGTCACCACCAACTGCATCATTTTACGAGCATAGCCCGAACTGCATAGGGAAAAACTTTATTTCAACGTCATGTCACGTGACCCGAGAGAAGATCCAATCAGTGCCCGATGCAGTTATCTACATCATTCAGTTTGCGTTCCAGCATTGATAGACTGGTCTGAGTGATCCTCTCTCTCTCTCTTTCTTCTTTGTTTTATTAGAATGGTCTAAAATACCAAATTTTTTTCTAACATTGAAAATTGCAATTAAAAAGCTCAAAATACGTGAAAAAAAATCACTCCATTTCAAGATGCCCTTAAATTTGAAGGAAAATACACCCCGAAAAAATGAAACCCTACTCGAAACGTAACATGAGAAAAAAAAAAAAAAAAAACGCAAACGGTCCTGTGTGAATGGGCCTTCACTCGTCTAATTCCGTTACTTACGTTAAAGGCTTCCTTGATGCCTCCGTTGTCGGCGATGTTCTCACCCTGCGTGTTGATGCCGTTTAACTATACGAGGGGAGAGAGGGCTCGGGTCAGTCGCCACCACGGCAGGGACTATAAATGCGATGAGTGCGCCGCCTCTCCCATAGAACAGAGGGCAAGTCAGTTATCAAAATGCCCGGAGGGAATAAATAAATAATTTTATTATTGGGAGTTAAGCTTTCTTAAGACGAAGCCAGCTCAGAAGGTGTAGCTGAAAACTGCAGTCGCACGGAGACTCAAAGCCACGAGATGTTAGGAATTTAGGGCTGCCACACTCTCCACAACTTTAATTTATTTTTCCTCCCTCCAGACTTTGAGAATATTTATACGTCGACAAGTTGATATAACCTGAGGACTTGCTGGTACTGTTTAAACACTTTTTCGGAGTAATTCAGCGAGCGAATTGCAGTCAATGTCATTGATAACAGCTCCATGGGAATGGCAAAAAATGTTCGTTGCACAAGTCGCTTCGTTTCAAGAGTTTAGAACGAAAATTAGAACATGAGAAACCGAAATACGAGTAGGTCTACCGCGTAGTGGCAAACTTGCGCGATATAAGCTCCCATGAGGCTAAATCTTGGTGCAGTATGGGAGTGAAAACATTGCCACGTAAAGCGTAGGGCAGAGCCGTTTATATTCTGAGAGGCGGATATGGGTGGAGCTTGCGACCGGCTAAATCTGGCTCGAACAATTCAACCTCGCAAAAACACAAAATGGAGATACGTTTTCGTTTATCCGCTCGCGCGAGCCACATCGGTATATTGTTAGGCCTGTAATAGATTGCTGCATTCAAAGGCCTCGCACTTTTTCGTTCTTTTTCAGACAAAAACATACTAAACAAGTCACGCAATTTAGAGCACTGGCTCGCAGTACCTGCATAGCAAACACTTTCCGTGGTGTCACGGGAATTGTGGCGGTGGTGGGAATATATAAAATTAAATTTCTAGAAAAAAAGGGAATGAAAAACGGTAATATTTTGAAGGTTGTTGCACATAAGGAAGTTCGACAAATTTAGTGCGTGGAAAGTGCCAAAGGCGCTTACGTTAACGAGAGACCCTTTCAGTGCGTTGACACGTCAATGCAGATATGGGGTGGAATCCAGAGTGGATCATGAATTATCAGCACAATATGGCGAGGGAACTAAAGTCACTGGACCCTGGAAAAGTAGCGCCATTGACTTCCCTGACCTCTAGTCGGACAGAAACATATTGGCGACGTGCGCGACCGAAAGCGTCGCTGTGGTCGGCCTTCCACGATTGGCCCAAAAGCTGACTATGACGTCGGAAACATCGACGGAAATAAGAGGAATGAAAGAACTTTAATTTCGACGATGTTGGCAGTGTTGCTTTGAGAGCGCAATGATTTCAGGCTTCCACCATGCTATCTACAAACACCATCGAACTTGTTTTCGCAAGGCAATGACGTCACAAGGGGGAACCATAGGAGGGCGCCACCAAAACATCTCGCCGCTAATACTAATAACATACAGACGACCGATCAAACCTTGCAAAGAGATCGGTCTCATTTTCCATGGCAACCGCGATTTTGTTCCATTCGAATCTTCGAAAGGGTAGTTCTGAACCTGTCGCACCAAGATTGCCATGGAGAATCATAGTGCAGAAAGCGTTCCTTGCCGATGTAAGCGTCTTTATCGTTGCGGAAGAAGTCAACTTATCAATCATGCTTATCTGAGTTATCTCCACGGATCTCTTTGAATGGAATTATTGTTCTCGCGTATTTCAGGACTGGAAAATTATTTCTCACTTCAGCCAAGCACCGATGCTGTATGAGGTGGCAGTGCGAAGATGTGCGCGTGTTTCGCCGGTGTGCGGATAACAAAATTCCGGCATTCAAGAAATGTCTCGAGAAGGCGACCCGTCCCCAGCGATTTTAGATCGGCTCACCCAGAATAGAAAAGTCAATAAGAGACTGCTCATTCAATGAACCGAAATGACAACCATACGGAGAGCTTGGCGCTACTTTTTGGGGATAAACTAGCTAGAACGCCGGATTTTCGGAACGCTCCTAGCGAGTATTTCAGTCCATGCGAATGGCGTGTAAACCAGTTTTCGTTTATTCATTGATTTTTATGGGTCATGTGGCGATTCCTTCGTGCTCGCGATACGGAAGAAAGCATACTGCAACAGAACACAGGAAGGCTACAAGTGCGAGCACTTGGCCACTTGTACAGCACGAGGAAGCATGAAATACACGCATTCCAAGGTTTGGCATCGCGAACGTAACCTTTCACCCGTGCCTCAAAATAAAAACAAAGATAGCGTAGTTCTCCTCTACACTCTGGGAGTCGAAGTTCGCTGCTAATATCGCGCAAATATTATTACGGAAGATGGATGACAGTACCAGGTACCACTGAGGAAAAGAGCAAAACAAAGGCCAGACACACAAAAAATAAATAATATTAACTGAGCCTGTGCAGTTTTTAGAAGCGTTTTGTGGGAAGGAATATGTGCTACGTACTCATTATTTGAAGAATAATATCAATTTCTAAAATCACCAACGGAGCGGCGCGTACGTACACTAAACACAACGGCTCTCACATTCAAGGTGCCTTCGGCTACCGTGTAGTTCCCGTACTGCTCCACGATGCACTGAGCCCTCTGGCGGAACTTGAGGTCTGTCTCGGGCTCCCACCAGTTGATATTGTTGCCGTCCTTGTCGAACTGACGCCCTGTACAGCCGACACCGATGAGCAGAGCACGAGTGAACGTCAGAGCTGGGGATACCAACTCAAAGCCTGCCCGATTTCTTTTGAAAAGAAACTGCCTGAACCGGGGTGTGGTCAACAACACCTAGTATAATCAAAGCTTGTTCATTTCCACGTCATCGCAGCAGTCTTGTACACGTTACTGAAAAAAGTAATCGAATACAACTACTATTACTCTTGGCTAAAAAGTATTCAATTATATTACTTGATTACTCGACAGCAAAAGTAATTGGACATTACTTCCAGAAGTAACCGTTACCTTTACGATTACTTTATTGTGTGAAGACTTACATCGTTAGCGCTCATAACAATGAACTACTTGCAACCTATATTTCACATTTTCACAAGTATTGAAGAAGAAAAAAAAAAAAACGGGTTCCCTCTGCGTGGTCGTTGCACCTTCAAAATGCAGACACAAGCATAGAATTCGTTTGAAGAAATTTACTGATTTGGGCGTTAGCCACTTGGGGGAGGGGAGGGGGGGAGGGGGGAGGAAGGGGAGGGAGCGGAGGGGGCTCTAGATCTTGTTAAGCTTAAGCAAGGGTTCTCGCTCAAAGTTTGCATCGCTTATTTTATTATTCACATATGGATGAACTCGCATGTTATACAAAGGAGCAGCAGCTCCAGGATATGAAACGGATCATGTGTAGTATCCATCAGCGGAAGAGATCGCCCCGACCACTTCTCAACTCGAAACCTTGCTTGTTACAGAGACCACGTAGGGGAAATAGAGAAATATTTGAACTGGTTTTGTTATATTTTGTATCCGCTTTCGACATTCTTCGGTTCTGGTTCTCCTACGGGCTGCGAATAGGTACCATAAGCAGGATTCTTTTTTCTTTATTTCTGTGTGTGTGTGCGTGAGGGAGATAGTTTGTACGAAGGACCTACAAAGCTACATTCTGCTCCCTCAAACTTCGCCCTCAATGGCCTTTGTTACAAACTGGGGCTTTCCTGGGGCTTCCCACTCCCAGTCCCAGCTCAAATAAAAACGGACATTCCACAGAAACTGTGCAAACAAAGGGGTTGACCTCGTTTCCAACAGCTCCGCAAAAATCTTTGTTTTGTGTGTGTGCAGGAAAGGGGGGGGAGGGGGTCCCGTGGAAAAATAGTAACGGTAGAAGTAATTTTTATTACTTCAAAAAGAAATCAAATTACTCTCGTGATTACTGCCTAAAAGTAATCAACTCATTACAAAATTACTTCAGAAAGTAATCGATTACAAGTAATTTGATTACTTGTAATGCGTACGGTACAAGTCTGCATCACAGTGAGATCGAGCGCAGACGCTGATTGGACAAGAGCGCTACGTCAACGTTCGGCAGGGCTTCGGGTCCAGTGACTGCGCCGAAGGACACTCGGCGTCGGACTCGGGACTACCATTGCTGAGCTGGCGCCATCCGAGAGGAATGATGTTACATGGAGTTAGAGGAGGCTGCTCACAGGCTTTCATAATCTAGTTGGTGTTGGCTTAATGTGACCACGTACCTTGATCGTCGAAGCCGTGCGTAATTTCGTGGCCAATGATAGAGCCAATTGCTCCGTAATTCAGGTAGCTAGGGGGAAAGGAGATGGGTTAGGTAGGGGCATTTCGACGACAGCTGAAAAAGATTGTCTCACCTGGGCCGATCTTTCGAGAAGAAGACTCCCTGTAGGATGCCGGCTGGGAACCCTGTCCGCAAAGAAACAACTCTTCGTTTATCGCCAAACATCATGAGATATGCAAAACTGCTAGTTTTACTTTAATATTGTCCAATATTGTGCAAAAATTATGCCACGTTGCCACTTTGCTCTGCCTAATACTGTACCAGGGATGGTTATCTTGCAAGATATACCTGTTACGACTACCCCATTACTATCAATATTACAATACGGTTCGGGTAACATTGCCGTGAAACTTTTGGACTGACTGCACACTAGACCTTGGTTATGGTCTTATCGGTTAGCAAAGACTGCCAGTCGTCACGTCTCCTAAACTAAACAATTTTATGCAACTGCACTAACAATCCGTCTGAGGTCACACTTCCGTTATAATTATAGTTTTTCCTCGGTACTGGTGGACCAATTATGTCCAACGAAGATTTTAACGGGAATGAATTGCTGATATAGAATATATTCACGACCGAGCTGTGAACTCAGGGTACATCACAGTCTTTAAGTCTGTGACAGCAGACATTCACGGCCGCACGGCTATGAAGCAAATCTTTCTCTGGTTCAAGGAACACCGCACCTTGCATCTTGAGTATGCTGTCGTACATTATTATCAGATGTCGCACCAAACACAGTCGAAATTTGAGAAGAAAGATTGCGGTTCCCCATGTATTTTTTTTAACGTTGCGGGAGGACGAACACGAGTGTAGGAGAAGACTGGGCCACTTTCGGCGAGAACGCGAACGACACATCAGCAGAAAATATCGACGAACGTCTCGATAAGTACCGAGTATGTTCTAGACAATTCGTCTCGTGCAAATTTCGGCTCATTTTGGTTTTGACCGACATTACAAGGCGAGCAACTGTTCCAAAACGCGTCTTTTGCGTATCGGAATGCAAAGGGCTACGCAGAGAACTCGCAGGGTTTGCTCTGTATGTTTATACAGCCTTGATGGAGATGCGCCTGAACGGGTAATCGGTCTCTTAGCTGTAGATGAGAAATTTAGCCAGTGCAGTACAACCGCTAACCTGGGGTTTTAATGTGCACCACTGAGTAGTGATACACGACCGCACGCCGGGTACGATGCTCATCCAGGTCGAAACGGGCAAGGGTGGGGATTGAACCCCAGATCCCGAGGTACTGCAGCGCGAGCTTTAGCTCCACGTGCTCCGAGCTGGATTGCGCCGCTGGACACTGATTGGAAACGAGTGCTGCGTCAGCGCTTGGCTTCGGGTCAAGTTTGAGACGAACGTTGACGCAATAGTCGCGTGCCATCTCTGCCCACCGTTGACCTTGCTGATGACGTCATCTCATTCAGCAATACGGCTGTGCTATCTAGGAGGTGTTGGCTCCTCCCACCTCTTTCCACTTTAGCAGAACGGACGCTCTGCTAAAATGGAAAGTGGATGTCTTTCCAATTGACGCACGTGAGTCATTCGCGTCCTAACAGACCGAGAGCGGCGGAGCGGCCGACTTTTCGCGCTTTCGTGTTCGTACTTTCATGATTTTTAGAAAACCGGAAATGCGCAACCTCATTCTCTTTTTCTTAGACTGCCTCTTGGTGCGGTACCTAACCATCACGCACGAAACCGTAGTTGCTTTAAAGTGCGGTGTCGCCTGAACCGGAAAAAGATTTGCTGTTGCGCACCGTGCGGCCCTGGTGCCTGCCGTTGCGGACTTCAAGTGTTTTTCATTGATAAAAAATGCCATATTCGTCCTCAACGTCAGCTCTTGTTTTCATAATATTGTAGCAGAGGGAAACGAATCGACAGGTGTAAACCTGAAACTAAATGTTCAGTCGATGAACTTGTGCCAAAAACAAAAGCAAAAATGAGCGTCGAGAGAGCAGCAGCGAGCGTCAAAGACGACAGCAGCAAGCGTCGAGAAGTCGGCGAGAAAGCGGGAGAGTGTGTCGCCGTCAGGTGAGTGAGTCGGCAAGGTCCGTGCTGGGCTCCTTATCCATTACACTCGGTATCGCGGGCACTCGAGCAGCGAACATTTGAGGTAAGAGTACACGGGAATCTTCTAAAATTAGGAAGTTTCGTTCCTTCTTGGTCTTGAATACGGCAATATTAGGCTTACAGTGGACTTCGGCTCAAAGAGAAATTTGTGTTTCTCGTTTATCTTTTCACCCAGGTAACGTCATGTTCTCAAACCTTCGCGTTTTCTCCAAACCTCTATAGCGTCAGATTCTCACAGTGTGTTGGCCTCCTGCGATGCATAGTTTATTGACGCGGGCCGAAAACCACGGTTTTCTTTTCTCAAGACGCCCGTTATATATCCATGCATGTACGGATATAGTCAGTTACAGGTTAAGAAAAAGCTTTCGAGGGAAAGGAAGAATGGGCAAAAGGAAGCAGACTAAACGCTGAAGAGAGGAGGAGGTTTTCTTCTCTTTCCTCCAGCGTTTCGTCTACTTCATCCTCCCCAACTTTCCTTTCCCTCGAAAACTTTTCTCAACCTGTCACTGACTATAGAAGCCTCTGTTTTCTTTCTCCCCTATTAATTATTGCTTAAAGACTGCACAGTACGACAAACTGCATTTGGCAATTATTCATGGGCCAGAGATGTATCCTTGTATTTTCCTCTGCGCCTCACTTTCTGCGAACCAGCAGTGGCATTCTGAGGTCCGGGCTTTCTCTATGAGCCTACACTTCGACCCTTCGAGCACCAAGGCACGATGATCAGCAAAGCGAACACCGCCGACCAGCGACGTAGCACTCACTGATGCAGTTCTCCAGCCAGGAGTAGTAGGCGTTTACCACAGCAACTTGGGCGAACGTCTTCCACTCGCCCTTGATGAACGGCTTGCGCAGATGCCCGAAGGCGTAATCCGTGGACCACTTGCGCAGCTGCATGATGTTCTCGAAGTACGCGTCGGGTTTCAGCTTCACGTTACGGTAGTGCTCCTCCACGAGGGCGACCTTCAGCAGCTCCTCGGGGTAGCCAATGTACGGCTGGATGGCCTGGGCTTTGGCCCGTGCGCGCTGCCGCGTCTGCTCGTCCATCCAATCGATGTCGTCCAGGATGGCCATAAACTCTTTCAGGATGAAGCTGACCATGTCCAGCGCGGCGCCCTTGCTGTCCTCCTGGAAAAAGTGCCGCACGTAGAGCGAGGACAGCGCCATGCCCAGGGAGCCCGTGAGCGAGCCCATGCACTGCTCCCAGCGGGCCATCTCGCGAGTTCGGCCCGTCAGCACTTTGATGAACTCCTGGAGTCGCTCGCGCCACGGCTTGCCTAGCGTACCGTACGACTGGAGCACCACGCGCCACACCATGTAGTTAGCGACGGTGCGCGCCGGCGTGCGCAGGATTAGAGACTCGAACTGCTTCACGAACTCGGGCACGACCACGTTGATGGGCTCGTCCGGGGTCACCTTGTCGACAAGCAGCGAGTTGAAGTAGCGGTCCCAGTCGATCTGCGTGTATACAGCGAGGGCAGTTTGGAAACTAAACGGAAACTTTCGTGATGCCTGCGGTCGCAACCGTGATTTTTGCAGACAAGGCCGAACGCAGTGGTCCTTTGCGACGAGCGTGTAGGTTTTGTAGGTTTTGCGACGAGCGGCCAGGTTTTCAAATTCATTTATAATTTTAGACATTTGTTCAGAGAGCTATTGATACCATTTTTTGGTGCGCTCAGAAACTTCAAGCTGACGGTTAAGTCAGACCAAGGCATTCAAATATTAAATAATTTAGTTAATTTAATATATGTTCTTATTTTCTAAGGCACTGCATGAAACTAAGCTGCGTGGGTGGTTACCTTCAATACTGACCAAACCTATAATTTATTTTTATCACATTATAGTCATAAAAGCAGATAGTAATAACAGAATATCATTCTGTCGTTCTTCTGCCTAAAGGAAGGTTCACACGGTGTTAGTTCACTCAGCCCGTTTCCTTAAGTTACCCGCTAGTCACCGTGACATCCGTGTCTCGAAAGTCGCGTGCCAGGCTACCCCTTTGAACTGATAGACAAGCTTAATATGAAGCACATATGTCCGAATGACTTGTACGCGAGGTTTCGTAACGTAACGTAACGTAAGAAACCGGACGTAGAAAAATGGTCTGCTTACGCCACGAGTCCCCGGAAAATATGTGCTTCATAGTAACCGTGGCACCAGTTCAAGGAGACAGTCTGGCACGCGATATTCGAAACACGATTTTTTTTTCGGTGATTTATACCTAACAAAAGTAAACGTAAGAAAACAGTGCCCTGTGAACCAGACTTTATTTATACGGGAAAATATTCGAAAAAGTATCATCTCAGAGTCCGGTTGACGCTTCTGGCAAACTGTTTCCCAAACTTCGTTCAGTGCATTTTGTTTCCGCCGCCAGCTTTTGATGTTCTCTACGCTCGTGAAAGGACCATTTCCCAAGCTTCGGGCTTTGACTATACTGGATCATGTAGATCTCACCAGCCAGTTTCGATACGCCATCGCTGCCGGCACGCATTGTGGGAACTGCAGTCTTTGTGCACGCGTGACAGCCCCGTTGCAGGTCTGTGCGAACTGAAGCACGCAACAGCACAAGCTTTCTACTGCACTGGTGCGCCTGCCTCCTGTGGACAACAGCTACGGAGGCGTCACGCATGCATGGATCGCTTAGTCAGAGTCTGCGCTTAGTAAGTTCAGTGCCAACTAATATTGTCGATGTGCGCGACCGAAAGCGTCGCTGTAGTCGGCCTTCCACGATTGGCAAAATGCTGACTATGATGTCAGCAAAGGATTTCTCATCGACAAAAATTAGAGTAATGTAAAAACTTTAATTTGGACGATGTTGGCAGTGTTGGTCTCAGGGCGCAACGATTTCAAGCTTCCACTACGCTCATTACAAACACCATCGAACTTGTTGTTCGCAGGGTAATGATGTCACGAGAGGTAACCCTAACCGCGAATTCACACTGGAAGCGGATCCGCGTTCGCAAAGCGGTTGCGAACGCGATTGTATAGAGATCCAGTACAATTGCACGCGTACTTGATGTCATCGAGTGCATGTGCAGTTGTACTGGATCTTTATACAACCACGTTCGCAACCGCCTTGCGAACGCAGATCCGCTTCCAGTGTGAATGAGCGGTAAGAGGGCTCCGCCAATACATATCGCCGCTAATAGTACTCATCTAATGGCGAACTCCGCTTGGGCGTTTTGGAGCGCACCGGGATCAGTTGACCAGATCCGAATCCCCAGTGGAACATGACCACTGCTCCGGGATCGGCGGAGGCCTTCCCGTCATTCAACTGCCCGGGAGTTCCATTTCCGCGGCCGCCGCGGCCGTTTCGAAGACGTTTTCGCAATCGCGGCGCTAAAGCCTGGTTCAGACAGTTGCGTTTGACTGCGTTTGACTGCGTTGCGGCTGCGAGAAACCAGGATATCTCTGCTGATTATATCGCGTGCCAAGACGATTCCCTGAATTGGATTCTACGCTTCATACGAAGCACAGATGTGCCGGTGACTCGCTTTCGGTTCTCGACGTAACGCAGTCAAACGCACTCAAACGCAAGTGTCTGAACCGGCCTTAACACGTGTTCGACTCACGAACGGCAGGAATGGCTCGAGAGCTTCTAGCAAAGATTGCCGGAATGCCCGTAGCGCGGCCAAAACCTTCTCCTTCCTGGAAAACGAACCGGCTGTCGAGCCAAGGGGTAAGCAAAGACTTTACTATAGGGGGAATACATTCCACTCTGCTCATTTGCATTAGACAGAACGCCTACAGCGCCGAATCCAGCCCTGACGGAGTGGAGGTCCGCGTCAGTCCACGCGCAAGTGCACGTGGATGTTCGCGGCGGCCGCGGCGGTGTCGTCTCCGATTTTACCTAGAGCCCCTTTGTAAAGGGTTTATATCCGTCTCGTCTCGTCTCGTGACGTGAAGTCTCTCGTTGTCTTCGGGTCTGTGCTGACGTCGTTGCCGCCGATTGCCAGTCAAGGGTCTCTTCTCTTGGGTTTTAGTGATGTCGGGATCGTAGGCTTTTAGGGTTGAATAACTTGGTTTAATATGCAGGTATTATACACAAAAATTACAACATAGTTAAAGTTCGCTAGTTCTCAAAACTCGATGGCCTCTGCCGTTCAACTCTCTAAGTGACAGCTCTGCACTTTATCTACTTAATTTTCCGCATCGCTCTCAATGGGACTTTTATCTCAACTCCTCCTGCATCGCTCTCGATGCGTCTCCCTTGAAATCTCTTAGTTGACTTCCGTTTCTCAACTCTCCTGCTCCCAACATAGCTACCCTCGTTTCTCTCTCTCTCTCTCTTTCACTCTCTCCCTCTGACACACATTCTCGTCTTCGTGGTACGGCTACACAAATCCCGACAAGCAAAATAGTAAAGGAGTTCAGTTGGCGCTATCCAAAACGAAACGGCCCTCCGCCGCCGACTCTGTAAACATTAAAATCATCGACCCTTACAAACGCACATTAGCCGATTCCCGGTACAACCCCGAAAGGTCGGCGACACGAAAGGGACGTGCCATCAACGTCATAAATCTTGTACACAAATCAGTACACATTCCGACCGAAGCTCTCAAGAGCAGCTAAAATAATAAAAAGCACCTCCGTACACGGAGAAGACGCGGCACCCGTACACGAATGTAAGGTTACAACGTTCACGTTCGCGCCTCCACTTGGGGCCCATTAACCCCGGGAGGGGAAACGCGCCGTGCCGTAAAGATGCTGGAACCCCCGAAGAAAGCAAAAACATAGAAAATAACACGACACCCTTCATGTTTCAAAAGTAGCGCAAGGTGCGTCGATGCACGAGGCACGTGGAACGTGCGACCCTTGAGAAGATCATGGCGGCATAGCGCAGCAAACTATTTAGCGCACCACTGAGCTAGAGTCCACCGTGGCTAGAGTATAGACGCCATGTTATTCTTAGAAGTGGCGCGCGGCACGTGTCTCGCGCATTTCCACAACAATGAATTTGGTATGTAGAACATCAATATCATCGATAGCCGAGACCTCCCCGACGATAGATGGCTCTCGCCAAGCCCAGAAAACCTGTCCGCGCCGAGGCTATTGTATTTGAGAGGAGTGGAATGTATTCCCCCTAGTAAAGTATTTGGGGTAAGCAAGCGGCCATTACGAATTCTGAGGCGAGATCAGGCGAGATGCCCCGCGAGAAAGGTGTTTGCGCCTTGGGCTGGCCCGGCTGACTTCAGGTTGAATCCCCCGAAATCGTCGGAGCGACTTTTCTCGGATCCAGATCGAGATGCGGAGCGGGAGCTAATCCAAAATGACCAGTGGAACACGTCCGTCTCGATCCCGATTGTCCAGTGAAATCGGCTCGCTCCAGAAAAGTCGATCCCGGCGCGCTCCAAAACGACCAGTGGAATTCGCCATAAGAAATATCTTCCACGTACCTGTGGTGCCAGCCTCTTAAGCCCGTTCAGGGGCATCTTGTTGTACCGCTTGCTTATGTTGCGCCTCTCTTCACGTGGCAACGAATACTGGAAAAAGGAAAGAGTGTCATTATACTATAGGGTGTCCTAAATAACCAGGCTCGATCTAAAATGGGCGGTAAAAATCGGCGGCTGCACGTACCAAACTAAAGGTTTCGTCAGAGTTGTATTTCACAGGTCGGTTTTATCTCGTAAACTTGCAAAGCGTATCTCCCTCTCTATAAACAAATAGGGTCAAGAAAACTTGCCAGGGTCAACGGTGGATGGCGACGCAGACGATCGAGTCGTGTGGCGGGGCGCGTTCGGAGCAAGTATTGATTGATGGCTCTACCTCCTTATCGAGAATGCTCGCAACGACCCTGGTCTAATAAAAAGACCGTTATCTTTCTTAAATGCACCTTTGGTTTAAAAATAAATGCGAACAATAACAAAAAAACTTGAAGTAAAAAAATAAAGAAAAAAACGCGGTTGCATAACAACGGCGTTCTCGCTGCCGACGGATTTCGTCTGCGTGTCGCCTGCTCTCTTTTGCCGGTCGGCTGCAGATTCCGACGCTGCTCCCGACGTCATCTATCAATACGTACTCAAAACAAGCCCCGTCACTAGATTCGGTCGTCTGCGTCGGCAACCGCCGTAGACCCTGGAAAGTGTTTTGGCCCATTTTTTTACAGAAGGAAAGCTACGCTTCGTAATTTTACAAGATAAAAGCGACCTGTGAAATACACTTTTGACAAAAAGTTTAGATTGCTAGGTGCCGGGCGCCAATTTTACGGCCCATTTTAGGTCAAGCCTGGTTCTTTCAGACACCCCCTATATTGTCACTAACAGAAACGAAGGGTGTTGCGCGTCCGGGGTCTATCATTATCGCTCAGCAGTTAAGGAGCTTGTGCCACCTGCCAATAAGAACGTCCAAAAATAAATCACGAAGGAAATAGTGTGAATATAAGTTAGGACGTTTCCTAAGGTGTCGGTGACTATAGTTTGCTTCACTTTATGATCCAGCGAAGCCGAAGCTACGAGCATGAGTACGCTGCCCTAAACGATGCTTGCACAGCACGAGCGCATATACTCAGCAGGGACTATATGAAAGCCCGTAGCTCGATCACTCTTGTAGTTTCTGCTTCGCCCACACTTCAAATGAAACGGAGCACAGAGGCAGAGGCATCCATCGCTTCTCTGTGCAGCTTTGTCCTACAGATAAGGCCAGAAAGTAATATAGCACTTGCGTATTTTAAACATCAGTACCCGAACGTCCTTTTAGTCTGCCCATAACCAGTGAGGAGAACGGGCCAACGCCTCCCAGGTAAAGAGGCGACAGTGCTGGATCTATGACGTCACCTACCAAAGGCCAGTGAGGGGCACGGACCGGACACGAGTGCAGCGTCAGCTTTCAGTTGTGACTCGTGTTCAATTAGTGAGGACACAAGTACCAGCCGAACACTGACGCAGCACTCGTGTACAGTCGGTGCCCCAGGATGACGTCACGCATCCAATAATATGGCCTTGTTATCTGGGAGGCGTTGCTTCAACTGTCATGCCCCATCAATGACAAAACGAATCAACGGTTTTTACCACTTATTATAGTAATATTATTGGTTTAACGTAGAATTTTTGTTTCTCAAGCTATTTTAATGGAGGAATGTAACGTTTGACTGTAACAGCTGCTGTAACGAAAAATCGACTTCGAAAAGCGTTAGACTCATAGGGAACTACTTAAAATTATCCTGGCAGGATCCGTACTCCCCACCTGGAGATTGCGAGCCAGGTGCCTTGCCGACTGAGTTTCCCAGGGTCGGTGGCTGATAGCACCTAAAAGTGAACTCAATGGCACGAGGCGCGGCCTCTCCTGTCAAGCAGTACCTTCTCACGGTGTCTGTCAGATATGCGAGCGAATCTTCTGTAGGCGGTGCCGTTCAGACGCCCTATTACTCTTCCCTGAAAAGCCTATCCCACATTCAGTGCTTACTCTTCGTCTTTGTCAACGCGATCAACCTTGTTTATTTTTCTTGGTTCTAACGGCCACCATGTTAAATATCGATCTAGCTGGGTTGAGGAAAAGTACCAAATTACTTAATTTGCCGATTGGATGGTGCTAGAATTCAAGGGATTCGTGCCGGTACTATTCTTTTCCCGGCTACACTGTGTTCATTATAGGTATGCCTAAACATTACGGACACTTTGAAAAAGATATGTTACCCACTTTTCAAAGGTGCGCGCCATTTACAAGTTGCGGTGCCAGTTATTTGAATCCGTGATGGCTTGCTTGGGCACGTACTCTTAGCCTGTATCGGACACGAGGGCTGTGTGAGCGTTCGGCGAAGACTCGGCTTCAAACACACGATTCGTGGCCAAAAAATGGCGGCCACCAATGTTGCTGGGTTTGTATTCACTGTCGCCCAGCCCAACTACGTCATACTTCAACGTGGGAACCGTCACACGACAATGGTCTACACACTGACGGGCACGGACCAATGCCGCCTAGAAAACACAAGGCCTGGGCATGACGTCACCGGTAGTGATTCCCGCCCCAGGCAGCAAACACGCTGCGGAGCTAAGCGAGAGTCGCCGCAAAGTGGCAGACCCGCGCGTATTGGCGTCGCCCCGTCATATAGCGTCGCGCTCGTTGTAAGACGTTGCAGGACGCGCTGGTGGCAACGCTGAAGTGGACTAGGCGGCCCTGCGTGCATCCACAAGTGACGCCGTATGGGGGGGAAAGGCGCAATTTTCTTGTTTTCTAGGTGGTTTTGCATGGATGCAGCGTTGCTCACATTCGCCAGCTCAGTCTCGAACTGGAGCGCGTCCCGGAGCTCGGTCTCTGCCGCCATTTTGTCGGCTCCCAGCAGCCCAGCGGCCTCCGTCATGAGCTTCAGGTATGCGGCCACGACGCTGTCGTTCAGCCCCTTGAGGAAGTAGGCGCGGTCAGGGAGTCCCAGGGACGCTTGGTCCAGCTGCAAGCACGAGGAACTCACTTTAACAATCGATTCCGCTTTCATCTTATACTCTTTATATGAGTTCCGTGCGTATATTTTCCCCCCGCAGAAGTCGCGGACAACCAATACATGTGACCAACGGAGGAAGCCGAGAGAACAAAAAGTCTGAAAAACCGCCATTCCCCCCAAAACAGGCCATTACCCTCCTGAAACTCCTCGCAATTCAGAGCTGGTTCACGCACTGTCGTTTTGACTAGGATCAACCGTGGTGCAACTACATATAACACCTTAGGGCGGCAAAGCACATCGGCAAATTGGCACCGTCGCTCAGCCCCAAGTAGGTCCGGAAGAATTCCGATCCGCGTAGAGCTAGAATGAAGCTTTTTGAAGGACAAATCACTGCACTATCTCTGGTAAATGGTCGCTTATAACGTTGTTGGAAGTATTTCAGCACACAGTGAAAGAATGATGCGAAAAATATTGTTGAACAGAAGGTTGAGTGTCCGGGCTATCCGATGCACTCTAAAAAAAATCCCCTGCGTCTACTTTCCCGCATAACACTCGGAGAGCTAATCACAGCAAGTTACGAAGTCAGCTCAGCAAATGATGATGCTGAAACACATGTTTAGACCATAAAACGCAGTCTGAGTTGTGGCATTAAGCAATGTAAGCGTGACGTTTTGCATTGCTTAATGTCACAACTCAGACTGCGCTTTTTAGGTCTAAACATATGTTTCGGCATCGTCATTCGCTAAGCTGCCTCGGTAAGTCGCGACGATTGGCTCTCCGAGTGTTGTGCGGGAAAGCGGACGCATGGGCTTTTTTTAGAGTGTGTGTCCTTTTGTCATAAGCGTATAGAAGCGAGTCCAAGCCATTTGGTCATGCCCAAACGCAAATCTGAGAACCAGGTCTCAGACGGCATGCCATCAATGTTCCAGAGCAAACCGAATTTTAAATTTTTCAATCAAGGTTTTCTTTAGCTTCGTCATTACCTTGTTTCCTTCTGTTGAAAAGAAAAAAGAGAGAAAGAGACCGGGATATCGCCGCTTTCTGTGATTGGCCAGCTCCTGGCACCGCTGGCAAATAGCTGCAAAGGGCGATGTGCCGGTCTCTCGGTCGCGCCGTCTAGATTAGGACCCTTGAAGGTCGCCCTTGGGCTCCTAATTACCTATCATGCAGTCTCCCATGATATGACGAAGACAACAAAACCATTGACGGAGGCATTCAGGTAAGCAGAATTCAACGCATTCAACGTAGGTTTCGGAGACATGCGCCTACTACACACTATTTCACGAAACTCGCAACACTGATGTCATTAACATATCAGCGGTGGTATTCTTTAATAGATATTTCGCGAGTCTGTTCCCAATATGTGGGGTGTTTGATTTTAATTCGAACATATTCATATTAGGATGTCCGTGAATGCTGCTAGTGCAGGTGAGTTACACGGCCAGGGGGATATAATATTCACGCGCTCCATCGAATATTTACCTAAAATGTGTAATTAAATTTTTATTCAGTGATAATGAACATATAATTTCAATTAGAAACTTGCCGAGACTCATCAAAAATAACTCAATCAGTCGCAGATGGACTTGAAGCACGTTGGAAGCGCAAGAGATCGCCATAGTTACCACTCCCGCAACAGGCACAAGGCTAGCAGTGCGTAAACGCGGATGATAAGACTTTCATCCACGTTGTCGCTCCGCTAGCCTCAGGCCTGTCCCGAGTGGTAACTTTGGCACTCTCCCGATGCTTCCCACCTGTTTCAAGTTCATCTGAAATTCACTGATCAAGTGATTTTCGATGACGCTCGGGAAGTTTTTAATTAAAACCGTACGTTCATTTTAATGAACGTACGGCTTTTGAAAGCTTAGTTAATTATTTGACTAACGTCAGGAATAGCCCCTTCAGTGATGTCCCCTTAGCCATATATTGCGAGGGAGTGTTCTAACACAAAGAGGGGCGCGCCAATCAAAGGGCAACACCGAGAACGCGTAAAGAAGGCGCAATGACGATACGGCCAGGCTCGCACGACCATTGGGTGAGGTCGGGGGGAAAACAAGCGCACATGGGCGCATTTGGGAGCTAAACAAACGAACGAGATGCTCAAGGAGCTGACGAACTTGTTCGGCCTAAACTGTTGTGTCTTTATGGCACGTGCAGCCCAGGCTGCACGTGTCTCCACCAACGGTCGCCATTTTTGAAAAAAAAAGTATACAATAAAAAAATGTGCTGCCATCTCTCGGCCGTGCCGCAAACTAAGCTCTGAACGAACCTGTGTCGTCCAAAACAGCCAAAGCGCGAGCGAAAGTGCGCGGACGAGCTAAATTCGTCCTAAACGGTTTAGGACGAATTTACGGACGGCTCTTGGTGGAGGGGCTAGGTTCGTCCAAAACAGTTCAGGGATTAGTGTACCTTTCACAGATTAAAAAAAAAAGAAGTAAATATGTCCGTATTAAAATTAAACTTAAATTATTGTGGTCATTGGGGCACGAAATCAGCTTCCTTATGGAGTAACAACTCCTCCCAAAAGTTATTTTCTTCGGAAAATTATACATGTGTGCAAGCTGTGGTGACAGTAGACATTTCTAAGAACTGTATATACACTGATTGCCTGCGTAACTTTAATAGCAGGCGACTGAATGCCAGGAAAGCATGCAGTGTGCCAGTTGTGGTGTTGCATTCAATCTTTGAGCCGAGTAGTCTGGTATATTGCTAGGGAAAATAAAATAACGGATGAATCTTGATTTGAAGGTTTGTTTCTAATATTCATGACACTTGCGCACTAGAATCTTGTTTTTCGACCATTTTTCTTTTAAGGTGGCTTAGGGCACTTTAGGCTTCTACGTAGTATATGTGAAATAGACCTTGGATGCAAGTTATATATCGAAGTGTTATATTCTTGCTGTACTGCAACACCTTTGTGAACGATATTCTAATGGACGGACCCACAAAGGAAACAAACACACACTTGTGTATCTTTTGTGTTTTCCAACCGGTATGCATCATCGACTGCCGCAATTCAAAACCTTTGCCAGTTTTAGTGCACCATAACAGAATTATTCTAAAGATAGAAAAGCTTTTTTCTTTCAGTGCTAAATATTCATGGATTTGTGGTTTTTGTACCGCTGCATGTGTTCCCTCATTTGTTTGACGTGCACTGGAGGCCGTCACCGGGATGTAGGTTGAAGTAATGTGGTGTACGATATCGCAGGCAAACTTTAAAATCGACGGAAATATTGTGTCATATATAATGAACGTGCGATGGCAGGGCTCCTATACCACTATGCAACCCGCGTTCCTACGCAGGGGAAGGAGGGGAAAGAAAAGTGTTCACCCTCTCCCCCAGACACCACACACACACAAACAAACAAATACACACACGCACGCGCGCGCACGTGCGTGCACGCTCACACGAACACACTATAGAGTACGATCTGCACGCACTCCCTGCGGAGCAACGCTATTGGTCGCGGGCGCTATGACGTCAAACCAACAGCTGCGCCGGCGCTCCTTTACGATCACCGAGGGAGAAATCCGGTGTATTTCTCCTTGGCGCGCGCATCACGCGACGAAAACGTGAGGCTTTTGCGGTGGGCAAAAGCCTAACGTTTTTGTGGCGTGATGCGCGCGCCAGGGAGAAATCCTCGGGATTCCTCCCATGAGTGAATACCCCCCTTACTCTTTTCTATGGTCTCACTACGCTGCGACCAACAGCACCACCGCCACGAGCAAGCAAGGTCCGTGCAGATTTCCCGTATAAAGCAATCGCTTTTCAAAACTGTTCCCTAAAACGTCGATCGTTTGCTCACGAAGATGATGAACCGCGTGTTGTTCCGGAAATCCGGGACGACAAACAGGGCGAGCAGGATGTTGTGGCTGTAGCCAAAGTTGCGGTACTGTATGAGCGCGTCCAGCCAGTGGAACCTGGACGCGTCCCATCCGGGTCCCTCGACCACGGGCCAGCCTCCGAGTGCCCTGAGGACCCTCTGCAGAGGCTCCTCGCCGTACGAGTCAATGAGGCTGGTGTTGAGACAGGACCGGTACATGTGCTTCATCTTGTGGATGAAGCCTGGCTCCGAGTCCTGTGGCGGCTTCTCGACCAGCGAGCGTAGCTGGGCTTTCAGCTGGTCCCAGATAAGGGAGAACTGGGACACCGAAGGCCTGTCCTCCGGAATCGGGTGCCGGTGCACCCAGCCGCCGCACGCGAACTCGTAGAAGTTCTCGCAGGGGTCCACGCTCTGGTTCATGTTCTGGAGCAGGGTGGACGCTGAGCAGAAGGAAGCAAGCAGCTTCAATCAGGCTGCAGGTGTCTGCTCTCCAGTACCAACATAGCGGCGCCGCGTCGCTTGCCAAATGACCGTAGGACCGATCGCCGGTCAAGAGTTTCTACCGACAACCCAAAACTACCTGCTTGACAAATATTCAGCACGCCGGCGTCGCCAACCAATGACAAGTGTTAACTAGTGTTGGTGCTACCGGTAACGCGTTACTTTTAATGACGTAATAATCTACTTGTTACTCTTTCAAAACAGTGAAGCATAACGTACTTATAGGTTACTTATTTTGAGTAACGGGCAACGTAGTTACGTTACCCGTTGACCTTCTTCCTCAGACATCAAAAAAGTACTTAAATATTTTCATGTTTACAGGCGTTATATAAGTAGGGCTCCGTGTTTTCGGAGTTTATTTATCGTGAAATTCGGAGGGTGTTTTTCGGAGTTTATTTTTTAGCGAAAATTCGGTGTTTATCGAAGTTTATTTTTCGTAAATCTCCAATTCTTCGAAATTCGGAGATTAATTTCGTAGTGTTTCCTATTAAAAAATAATAAATATTAACCGGATGCAAACGTATGCCAGATAAAAAATAAACGCGCTTGTATCAATTAAGATTTCTTCAGTTGAATTTGGCGTTGGTGTCATTGGCAATACTAATTTGTCCCACGACAAAATTCGCACACAAGTGTGGCTTCGATAAACGTCGATACCTTAAAATCAGTAAACTGCCGGAGGTAGCCGCAAGGAAGCTCGTAGTCATCCCATTGATCTATCCCGCGACCGTGAGAGGTGGTTTGGTTAAGGATGCAATAGAGAAGTTTCAGCTCCCCCTCTTCCCCATTTTGTACAATCTCTATGGTCCATAGCTTTCACTGTTACCCCCAGAAACACATCCTCTCCTTTCTCTAAATCCCATAGCCCAAACTGGAAACCAAAGGAGTGGCTTTTGTCGTGACACGAATGGTACGATGACCTGTTTCCCTGAACCAACCTTGCCGAGACAAGCCGTGAGACCCCCTTTTGACAACGGTTCGAGGCTGGAAAGATCATTATTAGGGTTGTGCGAATATTCGAAATCTCGAATAGTAGTTACGAATAATTCACTATTCGATATTCGCTTCGAGAAGAACTGCACTATTCGCGTTTTTCGAAGTGTTGATTGCGGCGAGTTTGCCCCGTTGAGTACGCGTCTTACCAAGCAATAGTGCGCTGCGGGGAAGCAATACCTATGGAAGCAAGCTTCGCGGGTATTGCTTTGCTTCTCTGCATTGCATCGGCGCTCGGTAAGAAGTGCACTCAACGGGGTAACCCGCTGCGAAAATCCTTCGCCATGACACGTCAGTTATCGCTATGACTGCACTGTGAATTAACGCAGCGCTGCTAATTTTTATAACGTCTCAACAGTAGGCTTCCCTTAGTGCCTAACTACATCGTCAATAGTTTTTTTTTTATCATTGCAAGAAATTTTTGCTACATTCATAGGCTGCTAATCCACAATTCGCAAAAAAGCTGCTGCACATGCGCGAGCAGAGCGTGTTGCTAGCGCCCCCTGTTTGGTTGGAAAACAAATAGGCGTGCAGGCTATTCCTAGGCTGCAAGAGACGCGCGGAAGCGAAGACACCGTGAGCGAGGACGAAGAAAGTTCGCGAGTCGCTTTTGTTTGTCGCCATGCCGGCGCACTGTATTTCGTATGGTTGCGCGAATTACTTTTATGGGACTGTACGACACGAGGGCGCACGACACGAGAGCGCCGACAGAGCGCGCGGCAGGAGAGCGCCGCGACACCAGGGCGCACGACGGGAGAGCGCCGCGACACGAGAGCGCGTGCAGAGCGCACGACAGCAGAGCGCCGCGACACCAGAGCGCACGACGGGAGAGCGCCGCGACACGAGAGCGCGTGCAGAGCGCACGACGGGAGAGCGCCGCGACACCAGAGCGCACGACGGGAGAGCACCGCGACACGAGAGCGCGTGCAGAGCGCACGACGGGAGAGCGCCGCGACACCAGAGCGCACGACGGGAGAGCGCCGCGACACGAGAGCGCGTGCAGAGCGCACGACAGCAGAGCGCCGCGACACCAGAGCGCACGACGGGAGAGCGCCGCGACACGAGAGCACGTGCAGAGCGCACGACGGGAGAGCGCCGCGACACCAGAGCGCACGACGGGAGAGCGCCGCGACACGAGAGCGCGTGCAGAGCGCACGACAGCAGAGCGCCGCGACGCCAGAGCGCACGACGGGAGAGCGCCGCGACACGAGAGCGCGTGCAGAGCGCACGACGCGAGAGCGCCGCGACACCAGAGCGCGTGCAAAGCGCACGACGGGAGAGCGCCGCGACACCAGAGCGCACGACGGGAGAGCGCCGCGACACGAGAGCGCGTGCAGAGCGCACGACAGCAGAGCGCCGCGACACCAGAGCGCACGACGGGAGAGCGCCGCGACACGAGAGCGCGTGCAGAGCGCACGACGGGAGAGCGCCGCGACACCAGAGCGCACGACGGGAGAGCGCCGCGACACGAGAGCGCGTGCAGAGCGCACGACGGGAGAGCGCCGCGACACGAGAGCGTGTGCAGGGCGCACGACAGCAGAGCGCCGCGACACCAGAGCACACGACGGGAGAGCGCCGCGACACGAGAGCACGTGCAGAGCGCACGACGGGAGAGCGCCGCGACACCAGAGCGCACGACGGGAGAGCGCCGCGACACGAGAGCGCGTGCAGAGCGCACGACGGGAGAGCGCCGCGACACGAGAGCGCGTACAGAGCGCATGACGGGAGAGCGCCGCGACACCAGAGCGCACGACGGGAGAGCGCCGCGACACGAGAGCGCGTGCAGAGCGCACAACGGGAGAGCGCCGCGACACGAGAGCGCGTGCACAGCACACGACAGCAGAGCGCCGCGACACGAGAGCGCACGACGGGAGAGCGCCGCGACACGAGAGCGCGTGCAGAGCGCACGACGGGAGAGCGCCGCGACACCAGAGCGCACGACGGGAGAGCGCCGCGACACGAGAGCGCGTGCAGAACGCACGACAGCAGAGCGCCGCGACACCAGAGCGCACGACGGGAGAGCGCCGCGACACGAGAGCGCGTGCAGAGCGCACGACGGGAGAGCGCCGCGACACGAGAGCGTGTGCAGGGCGCACGACAGCAGAGCGCCGCGACACCAGAGCACACGACGGGAGAGCGCCGCGACACGAGAGCACGTGCAGAGCGCACGACGGGAGAGCGCCGCGACACCAGAGCGCATGACGGGAGAGCGCCGCGACACGAGAGCGCGTGCAGAGCGCACGACGGGAGAGCGCCGCGACACGAGAGCGCGTACAGAGCGCATGACGGGAGAGCGCCGCGACACCAGAGCGCACGACGGGAGAGCGCCGCGACACGAGAGCGCGTGCAGAGCGCACAACGGGAGAGCGCCGCGACACGAGAGCGCGTGCACAGCACACGACAGCAGAGCGCCGCGACACGAGAGCGCACGACGGGAGAGCGCCGCGACACGAGAGCGCGTGCAGAGCGCACGACGGGAGAGCGCCGCGACACCAGAGCGCACGACGGGAGAGCGCCGCGACACGAGAGCGCGTGCAGAACGCACGACAGCAGAGCGCCGCGACACCAGAGCGCACGACGGGAGAGCGCCGCGACACGAGAGCGCGTGCAGAGCGCACGAAGGGAGAGCGCCGCGACACCAGAGCGCACGACGGGAGAGCGCCGCGACACAAGAGCGCGTGCAGAGCACACGACGGGAGAGCGCTGCGACACGAGAGCGTGTGCAGAGCGCACGACAGCAGAGCGCCGCGACACCAGAGCGCACGACGGGAGAGCGCCGCGACACCAGAGCGCACGACGGGAGAGCGCCGCGACACGAGAGCGCGTGCAGAGCGCACGACGGGAGAGCGCCGCGACACCAGAGCGCACGACGGGAGAGCGCCGCGACACGAGAGCGCGTGATGAGCGCACGACGGGAGAGCGCCGCGACACCAGAACGCACGACGGGAGAGCGCCGCGACACGAGAGCGCGTGCAGAGCGCACGACGGGAGAGCGCCGCGACACCAGAGCGCACGACGGGAGAGCGCCGCGACACGAGAGCGCGTGCAGAACGCACGACAGCAGAGCGCCGCGACACCAGAGCGCACGACGGGAGAGCGCCGCGACACGAGAGCGCGTGCAGAGCGCACGAAGGGAGAGCGCCGCGACACCAGAGCGCACGACGGGAGAGCGCCGCGACACAAGAGCGCGTGCAGAGCACACGACGGGAGAGCGCTGCGACACGAGAGCGTGTGCAGAGCGCACGACAGCAGAGCGCCGCGACACCAGAGCGCACGACGGGAGAGCGCCGCGACACCAGAGCGCACGACGGGAGAGCGCCGCGACACGAGAGCGCGTGCAGAGCGCACGACGGGAGAGCGCCGCGACACCAGAGCGCACGACGGGAGAGCGCCGCGACACGAGAGCGCGTGCAGAGCGCACGACAGCAGAGCGCCGCGAAACCAGAGTGCACGACGGGAGAGCGCCGCGAAACGAGAGCGCGTGCAGAGCTCACGACGGGAGAGCGCCGCGACACCAGAGCGCACGACGGGAGAGCGCCGCGACACGAGAGCGCGTGATGAGCGCACGACGGGAGAGCGCCGCGACACCAGAGCGCACGACGGGAGAGCGCCGCGACACGAGAGCGCGTGCAGAGCGCACGACGGGAGAGCGCCGCGACACCAGAGCGCACGACGGGAGAGCGCCGCGACACGAGAGCGCGTGCAGAGCGCACGACGGGAGAGCGCCGCGACACGAGAGCGCGTGCAGAGCGCACGACAGCAGAGCGCCGCGACACCAGAGCGCACGACGGGAGAGCGCCGCGACACGAGAGCGCGTGCAGAGCGCACGAAGGGAGAGCGCCGCGACACCAGAGCGCACGACGGGAGAGCGCCGCGACACGAGAGCGCGTGCAGAGCGCACGAAGGGAGAGCGCCGCGAAACCAGAGTGCACGACGGGAGAGCGCC